TTACTATAGTCTGGGCAATATAGCTGTTATAATACGATAGGTTGGACAGTCTAGCTGTAATAATACGATTATAAGCTCTTCATTTCATTTTATCGCAATCGAACTATATCACAATATCAAAACAAAAATGGCAAGTCTGTGAACGTACTAGAGGAGTGAAGCCCTGTCAAGGTGACATTATGTTGTGTAAGCAATTCAATACAAAACAATTTTCGGCAAACAGAAGGTAGTACTACTGAAGATCCACTATATGCCCTACCACATCCACTGCAATCGTCATTTAACAACATGGATCAGTTAACAGAGATCAATGCCAGATTACGCAATCTTGAGAGATTGCAAAGTAATTTTCAGCAACTCGACTGAACAACAGGTCAGTAAAATGCACTATGTGACCTGGAAGGACATAAACTTGACCAGTATATTCGTCGCAATACATCCACGGTAGAAGGCAAAAATGAAAGCATCGATGACATTGCATTTAAAGTTTTCGAGGTTTTTGGCGTCAGTGCGAACATGAGATGTATAAATTTTGAGAAACTCCTAATATTTTTCAAAAATAGCTATTTTTAGAACAACTCCATACAGCGCAATGTTTAACAAAAATTGCATTTTTCAACACTTTTATAAACCAGATTTTTGAAAAAGTTCAGGAAAACAAAAAGTATCCCATCAGTAACAATATACAATATTTTCAGCCTACAATTTGAGATATGGCATAATATCTCTAACATAGGAACCTGTGGTAAAAGCACTATAATTCTGCCAAAATGGCTGCTTTCCACTAAAATAAACCATGATTTTCTCGAAAATTAACCTGGTGGACCCCCAACTTTTTTTAATTCAATATTTTTATATTGCCCAGAAGTACAATTATTAAAAAATTAATAAATTCTGGATATTTGAAATCATGAGTAGGCTAGACAGTACTGTGTTTCTCACCACAAATGTAGGGTTCTTTTTGGTGGGTAATAAATGTGCCCAACTGTGTCATGATTTACATTTAAATATTGTTTGAGCTGTGATGCTATAGCTTTTTTATTTTAGGCCAGACTTTTGTTTTGCGAACCCGCCGAATGAACAATAGCTGAAAATGAAATAAAAATAAAATTTTGTTTCAGTGTAATTTCTCGCGCCAGCCGACTTGTAAGTGCAAAAGTTGCTAAAAAAAACTTATTTTTATCTTCAATTTGCATTTTCAAGTTGCATTTTCGTGGGAGTATTATGATCAAAGAACCAAAGTCTCGCGCAGATGAGAAACAAGGTTATACATGGAATAACATTTTATTTCATTTCTTCTCTCCGGTCAATGATCTCACTTACAATTCTTTGAGAATCACACAAATCTAATGGGGGAAAAAAAAAAGAATTATTTTTTTTTTTTCGCCATCCTCAAAAAAATTGCTTTATAAAAACGGAGAAACAAGGAATAAAAAAAATTCTGGCCTAAACAATGAATAAATTCTGGGTATTTGAAATCATGAGTAGGCTAGACAGTACTGTGTTTCTCACCCCAAATGTAGGGTTCTTTTTGGTGGGTAATAAATGTGCCCAACTGTGTCATAATTTACATTTAAATATTGCTTGAGCAGTGATGCTATAGCTTTTTTATTTTATAAACATCTGATTTAATCGTACAAGTTTTTAATAAACATTAATGTTCTATAGATTACCAAAGAATTTCATTAACATTCTGTAGAATTCCACAAAATCCTATCAATATTCTATAGAATTACATAAAACATTTTTCAATATTCAAAAAAATTACACAAAATTCCATTAATATTTTATAAGATTCAATAGATAGATATTATGGGCCGATGGCCTTCTATTATAAATAAAGACAATAAAAAAAATCATAATTTATAGAATTCTCTAAAAATCAAGTAAATTTAATAGAATTACACTGGATTCAAATCTTCTGGAATTCCATACAAATCAATAAAAATCCTGTGAAATAGGGGGGCTAAATTTCCATAAAATTCTATGTGATTCAATTATAAATTCTATAGATTTCTATGAGTTTCTATAGAATCCTCAAAAAATAAATATGACAGAAAAAAAATTTCAATATTGATCAGTTATTTTTTCTATTTTATTCTACATACATGTTTGACTAATCGCATATAATATTCAATTAACATTTCTCGTTATATCTATTAATATAATAAATATATACCTGTACTAAGAGCTGTATTTAGATGGTTTGAAAGATTATATGTAGCACAACATTGTGTTTGTAAATTCCATAAATTATTCACTTATTCACAAAAATCAACATTTAAAACTTGCTCATATACATCTTTTAACCCTTGGGCACTAAAGTCACCATCCACAAAATAGTTTCTTTTATAGTCTGCCCTTTTCCACATTAAATGTTGCAAAAATTTCAAATTTGTTGATCCAAAAACTAGAAGCAATGTCACATTTTGTAAAGTCAGTGGAAAAGTACAGAAAATTTATCTAAATTTAAGCAGGAAAAAAATGTGAAGGGTTGAAGGGGCATGAAATGTATTTTTCAGTAAACTGGTTCATGCTGTTCGAAAAAAGCCAAAATGATAACCATGAAAGGAAAAAAACTCCCACTGGATTTACCATAGCAGACATTCTAAGGTTAACTTCACATAATCACAGTATAGATTAAGCATATCGTAATTAAGTAAAATAAACAACAAACAACCAATTTATAATATCTCCCATCATTCAGCACCAGTGCATATTTTGGGACCCCTTACAATCTGGCAATATTTTTTATTTTATTTATTAGTAGAATCAGAAATCGACCAACTTCATAGACGAGGGTTTTATGTTGACATAAAATCAGGAAATCAGAATCCTGTATATACAAGTGACGCTACTTGTAATATGTGTACTGAAGGTGAAGTAAATTGCTGCAATGATCCCATATGTATGTAGGTGGTTGCACAACAAAAAATTTAATTTATAGAAAAATTGAGTACAAGTACAATATGCTGGTATATGTTTTACATTTATTTTGTGTATATATTCAGAGAAATATGGCTGACACAAGCTAACAAAATTAAATTGAATTATGAACAAAAAAAAATAGAAATTAACATACGG